TCTCTCCGACGTAGAGTCACTTTCCGAACTCGCAATCATAACAGATTTAACAAATTATCTAAATTCGTTAAATTTGAAGCTGCAAGAGGCTAATCAAAATATTTCTCAATTAGTTAGTACTATAGACTTCTTTCAGGGAAAATTAATAATATTAAAAAATCATTTAGTACAAGAAGTTTTCCACTTTCTTCCTAGTTGTCAAATTCTTGCAAAGGAATATGACATTTCAATTAACTTCAAACAACATACTCTGATTTTCTTAACTCCTTAATAAGTGAATTTGAAACGCGTTTTGCGGATATTACAATATTTCGGGATGATTTAATTCTTTTTGAAAATCCTCGCACTGTTCATATTGAAGATCAGAAGTTAGAATTTCAGGAAGAACTGTGCCGTTTACAAACAAATATTTCTCTGAAAACGCGACCGGAAAGTGGAATAGAATTTTAAAAAATTTTAAAGCCATGTTCTTATCCCAATCTCATAAATTTTGCACTTCGTATTTCTTCTATGTTTGGTTCTACATATTTATGTGAGTGCTCCTTTTCTAAGATAAAATATATAAAAACAGATAAACGTTCTTCTTTAAATGATGCATCCTTATCCTCATTGATGCAAACAAGCACCTCTAATATTAATGTAGATATCTCGTCGCTTATTCAGTCGCACAAAAGGATTAGGAAATCGGTTTGATACATTCGTCTTCTTTTCAATTTCTTTTTCTCGATCAAAATTATTTTTCTTCTTCAGTGGAATAGGCCTACAGGGGATACCACTTAAAAAAAAACGCGTTGGCAATAGTACCTCATGGGTGACGTGGAAACCTATTGTTTTTTTATAATATAGAAAACCTATACTTTGTACTTATAATAATATTAATACATTAATACTGTATATTATAGTTATATTAAGAATATTACTTATATTAATATTTCTATTAATATATATTTATATTAATATTAAGACTATATTATATTAGTAAACTATAAAAAATGCCTATGGAGTTTTAATAAATAAATTTGTTTCAGCTATGTTAAACTGTGAAGCGTCTCATGTGACTGTCTCATGTGACGTGCCTGAGACAGCGCCTCGCGACTGTCAGTTTCTAGGTCCGCCGTGCGGGCTGGAGCGATAAGGGGAAGTAAGGAGGCGTAGCTCTCAGAAATCGGCCCGATCGTGCAAGTAATTCCGGGCACTGTCCTAGATGTATATCTATTTCTTTTTATGTTCGCTGAGTGTACAGTGTAGTTCAGCGATAAAAAACAGACCTATTGCTTTCAGTATTTTGGAAGATAATTTTGGCTATATTTGTTATATACTTTTACTTTTGTTTTTTCTTCTCTATGTGTATATAATAACTCAAACATATGTTTTTTCTAAATGCACAAAACAAATTCAGATGCATAAATATTGCAATTTATAATTATTTTTAAAGAATAAAATGATTAACTACAAAGTGCTGCAGGAAATATCACTAATATGAGTGAGTAGTACAAGTGGTCCCATGGTGTAATGGTTAGCACTCTGGACTTTGAATCCAGCGATCCGAGTTCAAATCTCGGTGGGACCTTTGAAATTCCATTTCTTTTTATTTTTAATGTAAATATTAACTTAACATATCAATAGATAAAGCGCTTTTTATCACGAACATTAACATAAACTATGTTATGGAATGCGTGATTTTTTCGTATTAACTATAACTGAAATCAACACGTAAGGATCAATGTATAATTCCGTGAACAGATAATTTATACATTTGAACTTATATATACAAGAAGTATATATGGTTATTCAACAATAAATCAACGGTTACTTGTATACGCCTATAAGAACTTGTAGTAACATGCGTATAGAATTTATCAATCGTATGACAAGCTTGCTCGGCCGCATTATTAGCTTATTTGGTAATCAACCTGTCAAGTTAAACGCTAACTAATCTGCTACGTGCGGTATCATTTCAGTCATCGAGTTACACATATGGCATTTAATATCGTAACATAGGCTTATGAAATTTATCGACGTGCATCGTAGCTATGAAACAGTAATTTCCTTACACACTGAAAAAATAAGCAACCTTGTCTGAAATAAGCAAATCTTGCTTTCTCAAACGTTCGAACGAACTTAAATTTAAAATATTAAGATTGCACATATATCTGAGTAACTGAGTATTAAATAATTCACTAAGTGATACAATATAAATAGTGGTATCGAACAGACGAAAGAACGTTTGTATGTTAGATCGAAGATCAAAATCAGTGTGTTCTCACTAAGCTTAGTAAAATATATATAGAAGGATATCGAATGTCATGTCAAAGATAAGGGTAGTTATTACTTTCTCTCATTCACCACATACACACACACACACATGCGCGTGCACACGTGCGCAATATTTATACTCGAATACAATTCAAATTACATTATTAACGATCCCTGAATTAAATTACACCTAAAAATATCAGCGGAACACTAACGGTGCGAAAAAATTGAATTAGCGATCATTACTGCTATTAATACGGCCGATCATATTCGGTAATAAAACGCAATGGGGCTGTTGTATGACATTGCTATAATTTTTGTCGATGCTACTTATTGACGACTTTGGAATTCACGTTCGTCCTCAACTCGTCCCTCTCGTTTCAAAGTTGTGTTTTACATATGAAATCTACTACTTACGATATATGATATATGTGCAAGTTACTTGCATATGTCGGTGCATGGTAATAGTTGATCTAAATGAATAAATCGCGATTATACATTGTGTGTATCACGTATTAATTATCATCTTTACGTGATGTAGATTTATAATTAGAGCTTTTATAGATTATATAATATATATATTCCGCGGCGTTACATATCACCGCGTGTTTCTACATAGTTTTCAAAGAATAAAATAAAACCGAACATGAAAAACCAGAAACAAAAATACATCCGAAATAATTCACCTAATACAGAATTATTTTCTTGTGACAATTGAAAATCTGCTATTATTGGTCGAAGCCGTTTAAGTCGTGTCAACTAAACGGTAGATTCTTTTTTTAAAATACCATATATTTATTTTGGTGAAATCCTCTTAATGTGTATCTGTAATTTACATATACACATACATACATCATACGTACATACGCCCATGCATACGCATGCATTCATAAAACATACATGTTGCATGCCTAGAAGATAAAATGAAATGTAATTAAAAATTGTATGATACACAAACGCAAATCAAATTAAATAAAAATACATAAACATATGACACGAGTCTCCTTTTGCACTGACATTATTAATGACATTTTGCGATAGCATACATCCTCGTACAGCGTGCGTAATTATCTTATAACTAAACATTGCGATGTGATAATTAGAAACTTACAATAACAAGAATTATCGCGCGAGATTTAATATTTATAGAGTATATAATATATATGTATATACATTATATGAAATATAACATCGTTGTCGAAATTATACGATATTACAACGTATTAGTCAAGATAGATGTAATTTCTCGTGTTTGGTTGTAAAGTTCTGTCATTGAAACATAGAACCTTTTCGCCAAGCACAAAGATATGCTGTCTCCGAACACCATATTCTTTGGAACGTTCTAAGACTGAAGGCTGAGTTAGACGGCATCTTTTGTTACGGGTATCATTACCTCGATATTTCAAAAAATTCGTCGACAATATGTATGTATGTGTATTCATTTTGTTCTTTTTTTTGTTTTTTTCTCGTTTACACGAAGCTAACAGTAGCTGATGAATTGTTAGGCTCTCATACGCCGAATGACGAATGAACGATTAGCGACAAATATTAATTGAATCTCATATTTTTTCAACTGCTAGGTAATTATTTACAAATTCACGGATACAATACTTCACGGATTACTTTGATTTTAACATGTTTAACAAAAAGTATAATCCTGAGCTATTTATACTTTAAATCACGTAGGTTTCGCATATAATTCATAAGATATATCGCTTCGAAATATTACAATTTTATACCTGATTTTGTTCAGTTATTTATTATCATTCTAAATAAATTGTTTTCTTTTTTTGTCCACATTTATTATGTTTACATAGGCTAGTTTTTATGAAAACATACGGCAAATAAATAAAAGCATCGAGAAAAAACCAGCCTTCAATAAATCTGATACATACTGTCAAACTGACTTTCCTGAATAAATTTAAAAGATTTTAATCGCTGATTATTAAAAAGAAAGAAAAATTTATTAAGAAATAAATATTAAAGAAAATTTAAAGTGGTATAATCTGATATAATTTTATCATAAGTAGATTTTACATTTTGTGTATATCTATCATTAAAGAGTATTTCTTCAAAATATTATCCAAACCTTTTGTCTTACCAAATTAATGAGGCTATCGTATACTAAAATAACAAATACAAAAGTTAATAAAGGCCCCAATACAATATTTGAGCTTAGATGTATAACAAAATTTATAAAGAAATACTTCAATGTTGAGTCGCTTAAGTTTAAGCATTGAGCTCAAATCTTGCCTCTTTTAACTTTTCTAGGATCTGTTATTTTATTTATACGGTAGATTAATTTAGTAAGATAAAAGATTTGAATATTTTCGGTAAACTATACATAAGTTAAACATTAGTTATATAATATTTTATAATAATGTTGTATAATAATTCAGAGATTGGTACACATAAATCAAAAGTTAAATAAAAAGGAATAGAATGTGACATGTTTAGAGTAACAATAGCAAATAACAGTTCACTCACGATAATTTAATATAAAATTGCAGAATTTTGAGGTGATATATCTTAGAAACTATATGCAATTCCCACGTAATTCAAAATAGATGACTAGAGATTCCACATTTTGTAAAACACATTAAAATCAGAATAATCCATGAAGTACATCGTTTTGTAAATAATTATCGATTACTATAATAGCGTTTACCTATTAATAACAATGCGTTTAATGATGATATTTGTGTTATTGTACTTTAATAATCGAATAACTCTTACAACATGAATTCTCTTCTCGTATTATACTTCTATTTATTATCGTTCATATATTTATAGTCGCATGATACACTGGAGTACCGGATACGTTCGATACGTGGATTATTGTAAAATAAGCGCAAATTATAATTCGTCGCCTTGATCGAGAAAAAAAAAATTAAAGGAATGAAGACAAAATTGATCGAAGGTGCAAAATATATCTATCGATTTTTGCAGTTACTGCTCGTGAAAACGCACCGGCAGATATGAAATTTTAGTAAAGGTACCACGCTTAATTACATTTAACCGAGAAAACACCATAATTCGTAACAACGCGTACTTCTTTTCTCTCTTGGAATACTCTTAAAGTCTGTACTCGACGTTATTGTCAATCTGATAATCTGCCTCTATATTTTACGCGTCTATACGTGCTAATGCGTAACAGCGTAAACTTACACAATGCCATTAATACGAGAGATGCAAAACGCCATGCAACTTAACGAAAATTTACAATCATGTGGTGATATACATATAATATACCAACATAAAGAAATATAACATTATGGAAGCGAAATGCTCAAACATTTCCCGTTTTTCCTTGCCTACTGAGCTCGATAGCGAAAGCCAAATCAGCGTCCTCCTTCTCTTTACGCTTAAGTCTCTCCTGTTCCGTTTTTAAACTCTGTTTCTCCGCCCAAGCTAACTGTTCCTCTTCCGACAGATCGGTCACGTTATTACCATTCCATATTCTGCCGAAATCGTTCGCGAGTTTCTCGTTATAGGCGGTTTTAGTTTTTATAGCGTCCGACTCGTCCTTCGTGACAGTTTTCGCGCCTTTAGTTGAGAACGCTTCATCTAGATCGACAATTTTCGCTTTCACGTTAGCGAACGTATTTGAGAAGTCGGTATCGATGACCCGAGCGTTCCTATTATCAGCGGCGAATGCTTTCCCGAAGTCGGCGTCAAACTTGTTATTGTTCGCTGTTGTAGCGTTGTTTTGTTCAATCTTCGCCTTGACAAGCGGAAAGGTGTTTGAGAAATCGCTATCGAAAACTTTGGTCGAAGCATTTTTACCCGAAAAAGCAGAAATTGTCCCAAAGCCGAAGGGATCCGCCGCCGTTTTATCCGCACCACCGCTACTTTTGTTTGCATTCACATCCTTAGTTTCGTCTTCGGCGAATGGATCCGCTATGCTGAAGGGATCCTCGTAACGGTAGTCGCGGAAAGGATCCTCCGTGAAGTCCGACAGCTTCAGTTGTGTCAGTACTACATGGCTCCTATTCGTCGTTCTTGGTGGCGGAGCCGTTCGATTAGGCGTTGGTTCCGGCTGAAGCAGGTTTTTGTCACTGGTCAGTTTTGTTTTACTGAAAGAAGGTATAAGCAAAATAACGCGACTACCGTCGACTGTCGTCCAGATTTAGCGGCCGCTGGATTTAAGCCGCTGCTCGTTGCTATATCGTAAGACTGCAAAAATACTATAATTTTCTATTCGAGTCGCATTTATCGGTAATTAGACAATTTTCTCGTGTTGCAAATCGTTGCAAACGACTGCAAATTGTTATCCGTTAAATATGACTCGAGACGACCAGCAATAGTATAAGCAACAATAATAATCAAAATACAATCATGCGAGTGACATAAATAAATAATACGGATACCCTAGAAAAAAATATAAAGAAATTAATTTGCAGACAGCATGCTCTCCGAGAAGACAGCCCAATGGTAGGCAGGTAAACTCAAAATTGTGTGTACAGCTTCTACCTAAATATGAAACAAAATATTATTAAATATAATTAAATTTTTTTTTTATATAGACGCGGCAAGATTATGAGAAAACTTATTGCAACATTCCGGAATTACATTTAAACATTTGATTATATATCATCAGCAAAATTAACAAAAAATCACATTTATTCTACATTTATCGATAGTTCTATCAATAAATGTAGGTTTGCAAAAAATAATTTTAATGATTGACTCCATGATGATGAGATTCCATGTCATAAATTCACAAACATTTGCACCATCCCAATGTTCTATCTAAATATTAAGTATGACATACTAAAATAGTTAAATACAAATAAGGGTACTTTATAAAAAAGAATAGTGCGTGTAAACAATTCACAAATATAATATTTAAAAAGAACATAATATTATCAACAAAATCTATGAAATTTGCTCAAATAAAGACAAACACTACCGAAGATAAACGTACTTTGGAATCAAAGTTGGCGAAATCAGCGAATCCGGTGGAAGATGTGAAATTATTGACGTTATTGTTGTCGATTGTCGTTTGCTGAGCACTAAACGGGTCGGAGTTTGCATTCACAAACGGATCCGGAGTAGGTGAAGGCGTTGGAGGAGCTGGCGCAGCTCTTAACGGACCAATTGGACCTTGACTGGGTCTTGGTGGAGCTGGTCGTGGCGGTGGTTGTTTCGCTTTCTTCGGTGGAAGAGCAGGACTGGGACTTTCGGGACGTGGCGGAGCGTGAAGATTCGCAAACGGATCATCCCCGAACGGATCCTTCGTGTTCTTAATATAAGAGAAAAAGAAAATGTGTTATATTATTCATTCTTTGATGATTTTATAAACCATAAAATATATAAAAAGTGTAAAAAATAAAGCGAAGATTTTATTCACATGTTCACATACCGATGTTGCAGTTGCGGATATCTTGTCGGCATGTTTTCCATTGTCAAATGGATCGAAAGGATCCTGTTTCACAGCTGCATTGGTATTGTCGAATGTGGTAAAAGGATCTGTTGCAAAACCTTCCTGCAATGCCATTTTGTTTTTCTATTAACTTACGAAAACAGCAGGGAACGAAACGGGAGGGGAAGGAACGGATAGTATTAATACATTAGTTTCAAGATAACTTACGTTAGACGGCTGTGCGGAAAATGCACTTCCGAATGGATCGGATGCTGGCACACTAAATGCTTCTTTGGCTTTACTCGTTGCGAAAGGATCTTGTTCTCCGAATCCATCCAAAACGTTAGTAACAGTTGCATCGGGAAAGGCATCCGTTTTCACTTCTTTTATTTCGTCTGTATTCTTTGTTGTTGCTTGGTATCTAATTTATTTTTAATGCATAAAAATACAATTATTTCAACTAGAAGAGAATGAGAGATTAAAAGTAGATGAAAAGCAGTGAAAAGGAATAAGGGGAAAAGGGAATGAGTCGGTTAATTAAGCAAAATGTAATACACACTCTATATCCTCAATCTCAGGTATAAACCGTAGACTAGTATCAGGTACAAGAACAACGTCGCCCGAGGCAAGTGCAGAATCGTAAAGGGCAATAGCGTCGCTCATTTGACGCTGCTGTTCCTGTAGATGAGTGATCTTTGCCTTCGCTTGACAAATTTCCAGCTGAGTGTCCTGCAGCTTTTTGGTGAGCTCATTTAATTGGTCCCTATTCTTATTCTGTTGTTGCTCCAATTGTTGTTCTTCCTGTCGTAGACCCTCGAGTTCCTGCCTTTTGAGATTCAGCTCCTCCTCTTGACTCCGCAGCACTGACTCTTGTTCTTCAGCTTGTTGACGGAGCTTATCAACCTAAAACACAGGACAAATTTGTGAACAATTCTGGTTATTTTTTTTATAAATTTGTAGTAAAAAAAGTATAATTGCATATTTTTTATTAGTACGTTTAGTTTTAGATATTAGTTTAAATATTAAAATAACATTTTATTTTTAATTAGTACATTATCTTCATTTTTACTATCAAGATAATACTAAATACGAAAATTTATTACAAACGCCATTTTTAGATTACACTATATTCTTCTTTATATCACATTATCATATATCACATTAAGTGTAACAGTTCACATGCATGCTGGCAAAGCATTACTAACAATGCACTACTGTTATTTATATATGTATTGCATCATAAGAGTATATGTTACACATATAATAGAGATCACTTTATTCTTCGATAAATTTATTATTTTTTTATTTACTTCGATTTCGAAGAATATTATTTAGTTTTATCTATTTCGAAAATAAATATTTCCAAAAATATATGTAAGCAATATATTATAAAAAATATTACTCGAAAATTATATGAAAAGAAAAAGATTTACCCAAGATATTATCTCATACTGAGAAAAATCACATATTGAATACGAATTTAATGTATAAAAAGATTATAATCAATGCGTTAAACGATATTTTGACATATTTTTTATATACCTTCTTCAGTTCCTCCCAAATCTTCTCTTCAACTTCACTCAAATCTCTATCTATTTCTGTCTTCTACAAGCCAAACATAATAAAATAAAATCATGAAAGGAAACGGGAATAAAATACAAAATAAACAAATAATTACTGAATCGCATTTTTTTTTCATTAAATGTATGGATTCTAGCTTTCATTAACAATACAGTCTGAAATAATGCATATATTCACTCGTATGTAAATAGAATTCATCAAACTGGACAAAAAATTGTTTATTATTTTGCAAACTACAATAATTAAGATACTAATTAAAACATATTAGCAAATCAGTGCTCTGCAAAGTAATGTAAAGAAACATGTCTTTAACATTATTTTTTAGTAATGATAAAGATCGGTTGGTAGTGAGAAGCAGAGTAACTTTACGAATAGTGTATGACGCGGTCATTAGTATAAAAATAATACTGAATTGTATATCAATATTTTCCATTGCCAAATCAGGAAACAAAACATATTTCTTCAGATTACCTTATACTCATATCATCGCATCCCGCGCATTCATACATTAATTTCTTTTAATTAACATCTCAATAATTATTTATAACGAAGGATTTTTTTATAATTTAATAAATTCTACTCGCACACGAGCGGATGTATGCGTTATATTAGTCTTGTATATGTAAAATAAAATAATGAATAAAGAAATGAAGTATGTGTATGTGTATGAAAAAAAAAGAACCTTAAATTATTTCTATGTGTATGTGTGCGTATGCTGTATGAATATAATCACACTATATAAAATGATACTGTTACACATATCTGTACATTCAAACAAAACGTTTATGTGTAGGCGTATATGTGGATATGCATGTAATGTATTTCTATTATATATATTTATTACTATTTTATTTCACTCGTCAAACGTCATTATGTAAAAAACCGGCATCGTTTTATAAGCGCGATGTACAAGCAACAACTGCATGTGCATCTTCATATAGTTGGGCCTAAAAAGCAGTGCTGCACATTCAATAAGCAAGCTACTGTTTAGTATGTTACCAAACTTTTGTTTACCTGCGCCTTTAAGTCATTTAATCTCTTCTGCGCCTCACCCTTCTGATTTCCGAGCTGTTTCAAAGTTGCTGCAAGCGTGTCCAATTCACTCTGAAGGCTTTTAATCTCTCCATTTTTTATTTTAATATCGGCTTCTTTTTGTGCTATATCTTGTTCCATGCTTTGTCTTTCACGTACGAGCTCTGCTATGTCTTTGCTTATCATATCCAGTTCTGGATTTGAATAACCTGATATGTTATTATTTTCCTGAAACAGCATGAAACATTAAAATTACGAGACCAATATTTGTAATTCTTGCTGAAATATCTTCTACCATGGAATTTTTATAATTATTTTAATATAAAATTGATTTACAATGTGAAAATTTATATTGTACATTAGAGACCATATAAAGTTATTAGATTATTAATATTTTAATTGCGTTCATCCAATTCAGATTGTTCTAAAATTAGATTGGTCTAATTTAGATCAGAATTGTTAATTTGATCAGAATAGATTAGATTAGAATTATTGATCTAATTATGATATCAGATTCAATATAATCTTGTCTGTTTTCTAAATGTATGTTTAAAATATGTTTTGTAACGTATTGTTATGTATGTTGTAAATATGCGAATATATGTGAATAAAATATTAACAATACTATAATAATAATTTACATGTGAATAAAATTGCTACCACAAAACTTCCGCTTTGTAAATTTTTGTATACGTTATTCGCAACTTTTATATTTAATTCTTCCAAGATCGTCTGTACCATATAACACGGACAATCTATTATTTCGAGCCTTAATTTTTAATTGCTTGATTTTTCAAATGCAGTTCTATCATGACAATTTTATGTGAAACATAAATTATATTCGTGGATGATTTTCACAGAATTTTAAATCTATGAATGTTTTATCGATATTTTTCGTTGGATAAATGTTCACGTTTAATTTTACAATGAGTCGGTAAAATATTTACTCGAGCTCTGTATATCTGTAGATCTTAACAATTATCTTAAAGTCTGTTAGGTTTTGAAAAACTTCTGAACTAGTGTAATAATTCAGAGTGAAAATATATTTTTTCATTCTAAGTTAATTACACTAAAGTGTACTAGTTCAGGAATTCTTCGAAAATAATATCATTAAGCATACATTGATATTTAGATAAATACGGGATATCCTAGATACAACGATTAGCATTTATTCTATAAAGTTGTGAATAACCTCATGGTAACTTTGACATAGCGATCATGAAAATACGCGTAATAATATGTATTTTAATTTATTATTATTTAAATAACGTTTCTTTCGCTTTGTTGCAATCACGCTATTTAGACAAACACAATGAATTGCGGAGAAAGATCAATAGAATGCGTCATGGCAAACAAGGTACGTAGGTTTCATCACGAATAATAATTTCTATTTATAATCTCTCTATGCGTGACGATTTCATCATATAAATCGTAATAAGGCAGCGAGATATATATGTTACTGAATATTGACGGATACGAGTATCCAAGAACCAACAAAACTCTGAGACAAATTCACGAACAGCAGTGGCTAGATTATTACGAATGTCTGCAAAAGACATATATGAGCGTAGGACGCGAGAGGATTATCTATCCAAATGCGCTTACGGCATTAGAAGGGACATCTATGACGTACGATCGAGAGAAGAAATAACCGTGAAAAGTCTGTTAATAATTACGAAATTAAATAAAATGCTTATTTACAGTTTGAACTGTAAGATTTGCATCTCGCCGACAGACGTAACCACTTCAATAAAGTGGTATTTCAACAGCAACAGAGGTAGCATTACTAAAAGCATCATAGAAGATACAAATTACATCAGCCATTCATCAGACAGCCAGTACATCGTCATGTATAATCTCAAAGTACGTTGCATAATATATAATATATTGGATATATATTCAACATATAAATACAGATAACATGAAAGATAATATGATCATATATGGAAAGATTATTCTTTAGCCAGATCAGACAGGATTGTATTGGTGTCAAATGCAAGATACCACGGGGTCGGCTTACTATCTATATATCGATAACGATCTCGAGACGATAGATGTATATCAGGAGACAGCGGCTCATGGTCCGCAGGCAACACCGACCGAAAACGTACCAGAATATGAGTTAAAAATTTATACTACTTGGACCACATGGAGTTCATGTTCCATGTGCGACTCAGTCGGAATAAAGCTACGATATGGTTATTGCACTATTTCCCTTCTCGAAACGGCAGCGACACACGATAAATACATGATCAGCGAAGATGTTTCGACAACCGATAAATTGCGATATACAAAGAAAACAGGTAAAAGAAAAGACAAAACGAATAACAAATATTCTCTAGCTTTTTTCAATTCTTATCCGATCCTAAGTTGAAGAATACGAATGGAGTCAAAATGTTGAGGATACAACTCAGATGATTGCGAACAAGAATCCGCAAGTTCGCTTGAGAACAGCACTATTATTATTTAAAAATAAGCTGCCATGCAAATCGGAACTTGTGCCGAAACAAATTCAGATAATATCAGCTATTAAGAACAGAAAAACTGAAAAAATGAGACAATATTGCAAGGTATTTATGTTGGTTAATTAACAATGAGAAAAAAACGAATAACATTGCCAAATATTCTTGCGACAGAAAAAGTGCCGCAAAAATATAATATTTGAAGTACGCAACGAAAAGAAAAATATATTGGAAAGTGCAAACAATAGTGCTGGTATATATTCTATGGTTCAAGAAATATCTAAGCTATCGCCATCGATCGCGCGTATCGTAATTTACGAAAAATATAATAAAAAAATTAAACTTGTATGTCCGAGGTAATACAAAACTTATTAAGTAAATTGTATAAATCATACTTGGATAAACGATAAAGAGCTATTGAAAATTATTTTATTAACATTTCAGAAACTTGAATGCAGATATTTCAACTATCTGGCATATTAATGATAAAATAATTCCGTTTAACATCAAAGAACAATCAAATGGGAGAATTCGCATTAATCCTCAGATGCATATAATATTCCAATCTCTAAAGTTTGAAGACACTAATATATATAGGTAAAACAAATTCGTTGACAATGAATTGACAACAAACAATAAGACTAAAACTTACTTTTTATTATTAGCTGTTGGCAAGATAATGAACTCGCCGGTGTAATAAAACTAAATGTGACTGGAAAAATAGAATTTAAACTAAATTACCACATTGTTTTAATTGGCGCTATATGCATAATTAATGTATTTCTCATTATATTCTGGAGAGCTTTCAAAGGTCGTATGCGATATATACATTAGTAAAATTATGAGGAATAGTCTAATATATTAAATACAAGTTTTGTAACTCAGAGTTTGGAATATATATATATATGCTATATGTATGTTTAATAGTAGCAAAAATATAAAAAATATATATATCTGAATAAAGTTACCACAATAGTTTCTCCAGCTTTCCGCATTGAAGGTGGCACCATTTCTGGGGTTAAACTTGCTGGAGGATCTATACCATTGAGTTTCCTTTTGATAAGCCACATAGCTATAGCAAATTGTTCTTTATTCAGTTTCCCACTTTGACAAGTATCACATAAACTCCTATAACATATGTCATTATAAACTCCTCTATTAAAGATTCTATATATTGTATATTTTATCAAATAATATTGTACTTACCAGATATGGGCTAATATAGTGTGTGGAAGTCCACTTTGTAGGAAGACATCTTTGATTTCCAAACCTGAGACAAATCCATCCATATCCATATCAGCTTGTAAAAATAATTTCTCTGCAGCTATTTGATCTTCGACTGAGACTACCCACTGCACTTGCGTGGTTGTCTAAAAATACACAATGTGAGAATATTACAGTGTCAATTATAGCATATATGTTAAGTATTAAGTTTTTAAAATTTTGCTTTGAAAGATAAATACTTTTACAGCATCTAACCCAGTCAAACTCTTTACAGCCATTGTGTTTGGCAAGGGTGGGATTGGTGGTGGCTGTGATGATGGTGATGCCGATATTGTTGATGCCATACCTACTGGTATAGGAGATTTAGGTTTAGATACAATATCTTTCCTTTTACCAGGTGGCATTAATTCTGGTGGAAGTACACTTGGTATTGCATATTTTTCCAATGCTTTATATACAAGATGCATGGCCTAGTAGTGGTAGTAAAGGTAGTAAATAGAATTATATAAAGAAGCAGAGATATTAGTAAATTTTAAAACATTACCACATAAACTGTAGCCAATACTTACAACTACAAATTCATGTCTATCCAGCATACCATCTTTATCCATGTCTGCCAAGTCCCAAATCTTCCCAAGAGTATCTAAGGGAAGTTTACTATCCATAAGCACACCTTTTACTTTATTTCCAGATATATATCCATTAGATGGTTGCAAGCTATCAAAAAGTTGATCATATTTTGCTTGCTCTGTAGAATTAATCGACCAATCTCCATTGTTTATGGATGTTATTACTGGCAGGGCGTTAGTAATAGTCTTCTGTGGGATAACTGGGATCTCTCCCTAATGCCAAGCAAGACATATAACAATGTTTGTTCCAGTTAAAAATATATGTATGTAACTTACCATTTTTGGTGGTGGTAATTCAAGATTTAAATTAGTCATATTCAAATCTTTTCCACTTTGTGCCAATGCGCATAATTTAAGCGCAACAAAAAGACCAGATTTATCCAAATTTCCACGTGATTGTGGATCAGCCATATCCCATATTTTACTTAAAATAACATCGCTCAGCTGGGATTTCTTAAGAAATCTTGCAGCATCCATTGCCTCGATCCTTCCCTGTCCATTTGGATCAACCTAAGAACAATATAGCCCCCATTTATGTAGGACTGTCTATATAATTGTGTATATAGTACTTGTTTCTTTTATGAATACCTGGTTATAATAAGCTTCATATATCGCGGTATGGCTTCCAGCCACCTGTAAAAGAACATTTTTCGACTGTTTCTTTCTGTGACAATAAGTAACTAAATTAAATAACAAACAAACATCCAAATGATTCGTATAAAAAAATAATCAGCGGAAGCGAGAGATGTATGCGAGGCTTATCAACGCCCAAATGAGCTGACGGATACGAGAACGATAAGCCGGTAAACGCGAAAAATTTGCATATTACGTATTAGCAGGAGCTTTTTACCAAATGAGTGAAAATTTATGGAAAAACAGGCAAAATAAAACCTGATGTTATTTTTGCATCGAAACGAAATGCCTTGAACCAAACAGCCCGACAGGAACCTATCGACGATTATACTGCTGTGACAAACACGAAGGTTCAGTTGTTAGCGTGATAAGTCTGCGGATCGCGACGAAACCTTGTGAGACCTTGTTTTCTCGACGTGCTCGTAATTTATCAAGCGTTATACTTTTATAAAATAGCCAAAATTGCGATGTACCTGCGTAGGTGACGGCAGGGCGGCCATACTTGCATTAAACACTGGCTTAACCAATCAGGCTTTCAATCGATAGCAAGCGATTTTAACTGTTTCGTTTAGCATCGTTACAGACATATTTTGATATCAGCGAATGCTCTGATATATTATTACGATTATATTTCCGTCTTATCTGCTTGTAATCGGTTATCACACGAAAATCGAAGAAAATTATTACGAGCGTACTTCACAGGATACGATAATACAGAATGTCAAAATCTCCAACCAATTAAATCCGTAGCTGTTGCGTATATGCGCGTACTATGAGTGCGGTCCGGGAACCGCTATAAATGCTTTGAAGCGTTTCTCTTTCTCGTTCTATTTCTCGGATGCAAACGAAGAAAGAGAGAGAAGTAAAAACGCTTCGAAGCATTTGTAGCGATTGATGGACCGCACCCTATATTAAACACTCATATACGATAAAGGCTCATCTACAATAGCTGTAAGAGTAAAGGCCATCGCACACAAGCTGAACTTAAGCAGTAAGACGCAAGCAATAAAGAAACTGACCAATTACAATCAATTATTCTCGTAAGTTTCAAAAGGGCGTCCTTAATTTCGATTGTGATCGGTCGATTTGCTTAAGCCAGCGGCACACGGTGCTTGTTTTCGTGCTGGATTGCTTGATGGATGAAAATACTGCGTTCTGATTGGTGCATTTCCATCCATCTTCGGAAATGTACCAATCACAACGCAATATTTTCATCCAGCAAGTAAAGAGCCTGAAATCAAAAAGTCGCAAACTGCCTCCACGTTTTTGATTGGCTGTACTATATGACGTCAGAATACGTCATGTTTGCGAGGAAAAATCGTACAGTTCGCTAGCTGTCTGCTAAATAAGAAGGTTGCAAGGTTATTTTACATTAAATCTTTTGAAACATGTTTCTAATGTAAATACATTGTCTAAAAAACTTGCTGGAATTTGAACATAACCTTTTACAAACTTGTTTTATTGTATTTCCTTAAAGAGATTTGATGGCTATTTATTGTCGCATGAAACATTTATAAGAATAATTTCAAATTATGTAATTACTTTATTATTTTTGCAGTATTTGTAATTATGTTGCGGTGTTTAAATATTGATTTGCATCATGGTACGAGTATGTAGTGCAAATAATTGTTCAAATAAGTATAGTACTGGGATAAAGTTCAGGAGGTGCCCTTGTATTCCTCATCTGCGGCAACAATGGTTAGAAAAATTAAACAGAAGTACTATGGGAAATGAATTTTATCTTTCTGAGGTATGAATGCAATTATAAAATTATAAAATAGTTGTTTCCTTTAGAAAATATATATGTTTAGATGTTATGTCATAAGATTTTGTTTTATGGTTCTTATCTTATATTGTAGGAACATTTCAGCAGAGAAGATTTACAAACAAATACTCGAAGCCTTATTCCTATAATTTTTTGCAACTGCTCAAATACTTGTAGGAATGTCAAACCTTTGCAGGTCAATAATAAAACTTTTAATCCTTTAGAAGATCATCCAGGACTACCAAAACATCTACAGAATAGGAACAAAAAGACAAGTAATAAAGAGAATGAAAAACTTTGCATCAAAAGAGGACGTCCAAAAAAAGAATGTATACATGAGACACAATGTCCCATAGCCTTAAGAAGACAGATCGTTTCATCTTTGGTTCCTCGACCAACTGCGATAGAGTCCACTTCTCAAAGAAATATATCTTCTAGCTATATGCATTGTAATAATCAGTCGAGTCATAATGTAACACATTGTGATATGAATGTGGACCTTAGTGAATGTAAAATACCTTCCAGCATTGTGCAATACGATAATCAGTCGAGTCATAATATAGGAGTAACTTCTTGTGATATGAATATGAATAGAGACCTTGACGAATGTCAAGTACCTTCTAGCATTATGCACTGTGATAATCAGTCGAGTCATAAGATAGGAGTAACACATTGTAGTGCGAATATGAATGTGATTCTTAGAGAATGTAAGGTACCATTGATAGCAAGTAAGATGAATGAAGTCCAAACAAGAACTGATTTTAACCAAAGTATTAATAATAATAATCAAAGTACAAATAATAATACTGGTCTAAGTGCAATAGCGGAACTACGGGACTTTAGTCAAAATATTAACATTCATACATTGACAAACTCCATATATGAAAATGTTGAACAATGTGGGAAATCTAAAAGTAATGTTAATTCAAAGAGTAGCATTGTGATAAGTACTACAAGATATAGCAGAAATTCGGAGTGTGAATCTATTAATAACAATATAATAGTGAGAAACATGACTGGACCTGATAGTTATATAATATTTGATAATACAATACCTGATAATACAATACCTGATAATTCTATAATAGAAGGAAGTCCCAGTCGTAATCCTAGTATTGTAAACAGTTGTATGACATATAATACCAGTACCGTAGAATGTAAAAATTATTTTATTCAAAATTGTCGGAAACTTATGCTGAAACAATCCAAAATTCTATCTATTGATATTCAACCTACATTGAATCCATCTTTGAAACTTGATAGTATTTTACAGCAAAACCGTGTCCTGAAAAGAAAAGTTGACAGTTTACGTAAATTAGCTACATATTGGCAGAAAAAGTTATCATCTTTTAAGAACAAATTGTCTTCTCGCTTTGGGGAGGATCAGCTTAATGCTCTATGTTTGAGTTCGAGTCGCGGCAGTAAATGGACAAATAAGACATTACAAATCGCTTTACAGTTGCATTTTGCATCTGGCACCACTGGATATCAATTACAGTCACAGCTACAAATGCCTTTGCCGTCTGTTCGTCTTCTTCAATTTAAACTTCAACATGTACAGTTCTCGCCTGGTTTGTTGCATGACATTTTTAAGCTTCTTCATAAAAAAATAAGCTCAATGAAAACTATAAACAAAGACTGCGTTCTTATTTTTGACGAGATGGCAATTCAGAAGAAAATTGATTACAATGCAGGAACCAAGTCATACATAGGTTGGTGTACTATACCAGGAGCAAAACCAAAAGTAACTTCACAGTTAAAGCTTCAATATCCTGATCCTGATACAAGAGAGAAATGGCGGACTGAGGTATCCCTATCAATGCTAAAGGAAAAGGCAAGTAAAATCATGGTGTGGATCTTAGGAGGACTAGCTGTCCGGTGGAAACAACCAGTAGCCTATGATTTCACTGGAAATTCTTTTTTTTCTGAAGCAGTCAAAGATCGCTGTCTAGAAATTGTACGTGAGTCGTACAAAGTGGGAATAACAGTTCGTGTTCTGACTTGCGACATGGGTAATCGTAATGTATGGAAAGCCCTGGGAATAGAAGTGGGTCCGCAGATACTGAATAACAGCTTCTGCCATCCATGTGTTGAAGGTCAGAAAATGTTTGTTATGGCTAATGTTGTGCACGCTTTTAAAAATTTCAAAGAAATGCTGACAAACAATAAAGTTATACATCTTCCTGATCGAATTGTTGAAGAACAAAGTCTGCCTTCTTCAGCAGTAAAAGTGGCTCATATTTTTGCCCTAATTGATTATCAAAGTGGAGATATGTGGCGAATGACTCCAAAATTAAAGAGGAGTGATGTGCAATGCAATCATTTTGACAAGATGAAGTTAAATGTCGCGAGACGAGTCATTAATCATCGTACTGCTGCTAGCTTGTTTAATATCGCTTTTATGGAAGGAGGTGACCCTGAAATGGTTACAACAGCTTGGATGGTGCTATTAATGCATGAATGGTTCCGTTATGTCACTTGCAGATCCCTCTTATCTGCTTTAAGTAAAAGAAATACAGAGACTTATGAACAAGCTATTACTATTCTTAAACTGACAATGGATGTGTTCCAACATATGTATATATCAGGAGGTTGGAAACCTGTACAGACTGCAATTAAAATTTCGACTAAGACTATTTTAGATCTTGCTGAATTGTGCCTGAATGAACTTGGTTATGACTTTCTGTTTACTGGTCGACTTACTCAAGATATCATTGAAAATCTTTTCTCTGTCATAAGGTATCGCAGACCAACACCTACACCACTTCAAGTAACGCAACGGCTAAGACAAACTACTATTTCAATGCTTTTGAGGGAAGTACCTGGAAGTAGTTATGACTTTAAGACAGAGGGAGAAATACTTATTAATATCTTTGAAGAGTTGAAATTTGCTGCTTTGGATACTGCTTTGAATAACAATGGAGATTGGCCAAGAGACTTTATAATTCTACTTTTCACAAAAGTAGTCACACAGTACCACAAAAAGAAAATAAAATGCTGTACAGAGTAGCAGGCTATGTGGTTCATCAAGTTTTTACAGTTACAAAGTTAGACTTAATTTGTTCTACATGTTTTTCAGCTGTACTTCATAAGGGTCCTCAGGCTCATCCAGAAAGTAAATTTACTCGCCAAACAAACTATGTAAGTTGTTCTCAAGTACAAGTTTCCGAAATTTTCACTCTGATCGTGAAAGCAGAAGAATGTTTTAGAGGTGTTGAGCACGTCATCACATCTGTCCGTAAAAATGCAGACATATTTTTGACAAATATAATGAAGGAGTATCCAAATTTGTATGCTTCCGCTATACCAAAGTGTCACAATCTTGCAACAGCTATTCTGAAGAGATTCATTCAAATGCGACTAAAAATTTTCACTGGTCATGAAGAACGAAAAGAATCCGGTTCAGAATTTGATAGTTTCAGCATGGGCTCGCGTTTGTTAGGCAAAAGCATGAAATAAAACTTTATTATTAGTCAGCAGAGACTTCCAACGATATTGAGTAAAGTAATTCTGTTTTTATTTTTAGTATGTTAGTCTAATTGTTGTCACAAGAAATTTCTATTGAATGCAATAACCCAGATAGAACACAGTGTTAGCAAAATATTTTAGAGATATAGATGTGAAATATTATATAAATATTGTAATGTCCGAGATTCTCAGATATGAAAAAGATTATAATAAATATCTAAAAATATTTAAGAAAACCATTTTTCATTAATATTTTTATGAAACAACTTATGACTTATAAATCGATTTATGAAACATATTTTGCAGACATATTTTTACATATTTATTATAATTGTTTTCATAGCAGAGAATGTTGAACATTACAATAACTATAAAATATTTGATCTATATTTCTAAAATATTTTGTAAATATTATGTGCTGTCTGGGAACCTACATTTTAGTAACAGCAATAATAATATAATGTAATTATTAAAAGATAATTATGTTCAATACAATTATTATAATATATAATATAATTGTTATAATATATAATTATTATAACTGTTTTCAATAAAACTTATGTTCGTTCTCAAACGATTATGTAAATTTATTTCAATTTTATTTGAATAATCACACTAATACATTTACGAGATTCAGATATTAGTTTCGAACTTCGCGCGAAGGGACGCCATGTTTGCGAGGAAAAAGATTCCCCTGCCTAGCAGACAGTTTGCGGCTCTTTGATTTCAGGCTCTTTCAGAGCTCAGAGCTTCAGAGCTTCAGAGCTCACCGCATGCATGGAGTCTTAGCTTTACGTCTTATTGCTTCAAGCTCGTTTGTGTGTGATGGCCTTTAGGCTGTAACGTAAGCTGTCAGCGAATGAAAATATTTCATTTCGTGTCTTGCAACCTTAAGGTCATTCTACAATGAGGTTGTAGTTGTAGATCACTGGGTATTTTTAATTATCCTACCAATACAAATTCAGTCTTTTTATTAATATCACTCACAATCAGGTACACTTACAATTTCACACTGACATATATGTTCGAGACTTTATTACTGCTGAAGCGATCTGGTTCTTCTGACTATATCGGGTCGTCTGTAACGTCCCACCATATTAAAATTCCCTATCTTCTCACCAAAACTCACCATACCTTTTCCTACCCAATCAAATCCTTACCTATCATCGACTAATCCAACTGCAACGCCTCCTACAAACACCTCTGCAATCAACAGGTACCTCTGCCGTCTTTTATCGTTAATATAATATAATATCATTAATACTCGAAACTATTTACTGAATCATCATCTATCTTCTTCTTTCTCTCTCTTCCTTCTACCTTCTTACTTCGTTTAGTAAGCGATAGATTATCAAACAACTAAATAACATAAAAATAATCATAAATAGCATATTTTGAAATAAAATTAACATTAACATAGGACTGAAGCAGACATCGACATAGTAAATATATAAAATAGGAAAAGAGAGAATAAGAAAATTTAAGAAATAAATTTAGAGCTAGCTTATAAATTCATTTGTCTCGAGGACTAAGAACGATTTCGTTCGGGCACAGCCGCGCACATATTGGAATGTGTTTATGTTATAGATATCATCGAGTGATAGCTGTCCCACGTACTGTGAACTAAACAAAGACCTGAAACAAAGACTCGAAGAGGAAAATAATTCCCTTTCTTTCTTCTATTTTTCTTCTTTTTAAATGATATTAAATAATTGCCATCGTATTTCGCAAATAATTCCTCAAATATTATTGTCAAACCGCCTATCCTAATGTATATGCGCTTTAGAATTGTAAGAGGATCTATTCGTATTATTTAACTTTAATGATTACTACGCCCGAATGAAATAATTCTTTTAAGTTTCCAAATTCTTATATTATACCAAAGGAAATCAATAACAACATTTCCATTTCTTAGTAAAACATAATTTTATTAATAAATCAGCCAACAACGAGACAACTGAATTACCAAACGCTACATATGATTAAGTATAATTTTAATTACTAGATAATAACATTTTAGTATTTTTTAACCAATAAATAATGAAGGGTGAATTAGGAAAAGACGCTCAATTGATATCCATAGTGTCGGGCTTGGATATAAAAAGGGCTCGACCCTTCGCGCGCTAGTCAATTTCTAGGCAGTCTCTCGTCAATCTCTAACCAGTCTCTTGTTAGCCTCCAACTAGCCATCAGACAATCTTTCGCTGAGCCTCTTGTTAGCCGATTGCCAAGGGGTCTTGAGCCTGGAATCAAAAGGTCGGTATTAAAGATTATTGTTCTTGGGACTCCGTCTGCAAATGCTAAGACGTTTGTTAAGACGTAAAATCCAAATCATTAAAGGTCGAACGAGCCTCTTTTCCTCATAATGATTATTATAGAGAAACATTTCTTTTACTTGAATAAGTATTGAGCCAGTTATTAACTACATTAAATTTAGTGTATGAATTTTTAAACTTAACAATATAGAGTAATTTCATAATATATATATATGTGTGTACAGATTTCTTTACCTCTCTTCCCTCTTATCATCTTCATTCTTTTTCCAGAACGCCGTGCTTGAACCACGAGCACAGTTCTCCTCTTCCTTACTTTAAGAGTGTTGTGCTTGAACCACGAGCACCATTCGCCTTTTTATTCTTCAAACTTAACCACGTCCCTTCCATCTACTCTATTATAGATATTGTTAAAATAAATATTACCTAAAAATCTCTCATGCCGAAAAGAACAAGAAGAGCCGGACGGCGGATTCAATTTAGACGTCTGTTGAAAAGTTATAATCCAGGCACGCTCGACCTGGCTGTTTTCAAAACAGATCCATCTAAATCTTCGGTCCCGAGAATAAAATCTGAAATAAAGGGAAATATATTTGAAGTTAAATTCAACACTAGCGAGAATACTATTATTTTTAAACCTAACAATAACCCACCTCCAAAGGAAACAGATTCAAATAATAAGGATTTGGACAAGAACAGCGCTGATCCGAAGTAAACCCATATATGTAATACTACTATATTGCTATTCACACATCTCTCCCATAAGCGGTAGTGATGCCAAGAAAGTGAGACAAACGATACGATAGATATAGGCGATCATGTACTTTGAACGTTATGCGCATGCGTTAATATACGTAGTAGAAGTTAAAATAAAAATATGTAAGAATAAGATGAAAATTGAAGTAATATTAAATGAAATAAGAAAATAACTTAAAAAAATTGAAAGTGGGATTCGAAATATGTGTCGATGGTTATTACAATTTCTAATGCAGTGTGTATAAAATCAGTGTGGGTATAAAAATAACCGAAATTATATAATATTATTTTCAGATATTTTCATCGTATAACATGCGACTGTATTAAAAATAAATATTAAATAAAAATTTACAAATTAGTAGAGTAGAGCTACTTTTACAACTATTGGTACAAATATATGTTAATTAAATATTCATAAAAACAAATAGAATAGAAAAAATATGTATGCAAACACTAATATTGAAAAAATGCAAATACAACAATTCTACTATCCAATATTGCAGCATTGATTGTTTATTATATGATTATATATCAAATGTATTTATTTGTTAATAATATGTATGAACACATAGAAATAAAAACACAATAGTATTTTTACGAATAGTTTTGTTTAATATCAAAATGCAACATTTTATATACATAGGAGATGCTATTGATTGTGAAATAATATAAGTTTTGTATATTTTTGGCGAATATAATGAGTATTAGAAGACATGGTTTTGGCTTCATGGAACAATCTTATGTTTATATATAATGATATTATACGCTTACATAATTGCGTTTTATGATTATCTAATATATCCTGAGATAATATATGGTTTTGCATGGTATCATTGGAAAATGAAAATGATAATTTACGGTATATAGTGTTCATTAATAATTGTTGTATCATCTTTGTTTGCAATTTATTTGTATACTGTCGGATAGTTGATTCTGCTATTTTACAAATCCTACATACATCATCTGATGGTTTTAAATATGGTCCTCTATTTTTGAGCTGTGATAACAAAGGCAATGTATTACCTAATAATTGATTTTTACAAATATCACAATGTATAGTGTTATATAGTTTATTAGAAATATATCCTGCTATATATTGGACAATGTTATCTACATATGGTGTGAGCTCCCAACATGTTTTAATGTAATCGTGATCAAAAGTGAGTAATTGGTTATCAAAATAATATGTTTCTTCATCTGCTATTGGATATTTGAATTGTTTTAGATTCGATGTTACATGAAGAATGTCTAAGCTATCAGACAGACAATTACCATTATCAAACTCTTTTAATTCCTGTCTGATCAATAGGCGTTTATAAGTACTTTTGAATTGCAAAACATGTGGATTATTATTGAATCCTCCGCGACTTCGTATTGCACTAAAAAATGTTTCAAGAAAGTCTTGAGACAGTTTATATGTTAATAAATATGTCATCCCCAAAGATTTTAAACAATCAAATAGAGGAAACATATTTGTTAAACATATAATTAATCCAAGAAAACCAGTTTACCTATTAGTTTTTAAAATAGGAGTGCCCTTTTCATCCTGTAATGTATTAATATATGCTTCAAAATTTTTAGCATGTGCTTGTAGTTGTACATAATTTTCAGAAGTTAATGCTGTATTAAATTCCTGACGTGAAAATTTATTTTTACAATTCAACATATCACCCATGTTGTTAAAATTCAAACAAAATTCAGCAGTTGCTTTGCAATTAACAAATCGATGTGTGGAATCTGGCATTGATAAGAACATTAGTGCATTGTATACGCTTGCACTTAATGTTTGGCTTGCCAATTTTACATTCATTCTATTATTTTGAAAATTAATATGTTTATTCGTGAGTTTATTTGCAATGTTTAAACCTTCTTTTTATTGTAATTCATGCAGGTTTACTATATGACTCCATTCAATTATGTCACCACTAAATGTTTGTAAAATTTTTTTGTCACCCAAAATATTTCTTACTAATTTTATCATATGACAAAAATCAAAGGACACATAACATTTCTCCGATGTAACTGGATTTATAAAATATGGCTTAAAATTATTTTCATATGTAAAATTTGCACCCAGAGCAGTGCACATACTAATATTACTTGGAGCACCATCAAAAGTAATGGAAAAAATTTTACAGTTTATTTGATGTAATTGCTGAAATGCATGTATTAAGAGATTCGACCGTTCTGTGCCATTTAATGTTCTAATTAAAAAATATCCTATTGGGACTTTCCAATTATCATTTAACGATACTGCCATAAATACTAAAGCATTTTTTGCTGTAGGAATAGAATCATTATTGTAATCTTCATTTTCCAAAGTGCCAAAATCGATACCGCCATAAAATCGTTTTTTATAAAAAATAATTTGTTCCCTTAGTGCCATTTTATCTATAACTAGGTTAATAATAAGAGGTTTAGAATTATTACTATGCTTTAAAATGGCATCTAATGCTTCTTTTATAAAACCTGGAGATCCATCGACTACACGATACCAATTTCGCAATGTGGAAGGACCTGGTAGTAAATTGTTCCATATTTTTCTTACATATGTATATGCTTTAGGAGAATAGAAGTGAAGTGTTAGTGCAAAACTACGAATTTCAGGAGAGTAACTACCGTATGTTTTCAACTTTCGCGACATTATCGCTTTCATATTCTCTGGTAACATATTCTAAATGAAACATAAAATACAAATATTTCCTTTTAAATAAAGTTATTGTATATAATATATATATATCTATCTTCATTACTGTATGAAAAATGTCGCAATATATTATATAATATTCCATAATTTGTGTATATACAACTGTGTATGACGCACTACGAGCAATATTACTATTTATGAACATACCATGAAATTGTCTGCAGCATCTTCAGAGAGTAATTTCGATTCTTTTAAGTGTGTTACTAATTCTTGCAATGAAACAATTTGCTTTTTCAATCTTCTATTTTTTTGTTGTAAAGACTTCATTTCTTTGCATTTCTTTTCATATTCCTGTTTTATAAACGTGATAACCTTTTTAGCTTTTTCTTCTGTATTTACATCAGTAACACTAATTTCCGAGATATATCGAGGCTCTGCGAATAAGCGTTTCTTTGGAAGAGTGACAGTACTTTTTTCAGAATCTAAAAATAGATAGTATTTATTATAAAAAAAGTGGCATTTATATATATATATAAAAATTATTTCTTATTGTAATATGTATAAGTATTTTATATTATTTCTGTATATATATTTCATATTTAACTTACATAAATAAGAAGTAGAAGCTTCCAATATTGATTGCATTTTACATATACCTGAATCTATTACTGCGGGATCCATTTTTGCAGCACTCGATGCAGAATTTATTGTTGTAGAATATGTTGTTGCAACATCTGTCGTAGCACTCATTGTTGCTGAATCTATAGTGGCATCCGTCGTTGCAACATCCATTATTTTTGTATATACCTTTGAATCTATTTCTGTTTGAAATATCGCAGGTTCCTTAGATATATTTTCTCCTGCTGATATAAATATTTTACTTATTGAATGATATTGTATAGTTCTTTTTGCAATAGCTGCAACATTTACTAGTAATACCTGCATTGGGTATACCTTCAAGAGGTAGTCTCCATTTTTTCTGTCTAATTATTGGGTGAGTGCAAAAGTTCGTGCGGAGTTTGTGAGTAAAAGTCACACAGTGATTAGGCAAACAAAAATCTTTATTCAATCAATGATATATTCTCTATCGTTTTCTATAATCTTTTCCCAACGTGGTAGCATACGGATGCCTCGATCATAAAAACTGCGCGGTTTAGATTCGAAGAACGAAGAGACGCCGTTTTTTAAGGCCTCCAAAGAGTCAAAGTTTTTTCCATTTAAATAATTTTGCAATGACCGGAACAAGTGATAGTCAGATGGTGCGAAATCAGGAGAATACGGTGGATGCGTTAAGACATCCCATTTCAGGCTCTTCAGTTTGCGCAGCGTCTTTTTCGAAACGTGTGGTCTGGCGTTGTCGTGATGAAAGACGACTCCCTTGCGATTTGACAAAATCGGACGTTTCTCTTTTATTTCTCGATTCAGATTGGTTAATTGGCGACAGTACTTGTCCGAATCAATCGTTTCGCCAGCGGGGAGAAGCTCGAAATAGATTATGCCCTTGCAATCCCACCAAACAGAGAGCATCATCTTCATCGGGTGCAAACTGGCCTTTGGCATTACGTCACCATGCTCACCTGATTGTTTCCATGTCCGTTTGCGCTGAACATTGTTGTAGAGGACCCATTTCTCACCGCCCGTCACTAGTCGATCCAAAAACGACTCGTTATTGAGCCGCTCGAGTAAAGAAACGGCTGCAGAAATTCGCTTGATTTTGTTCTTCTCGGTCAGCAAATGGGGCACCCATATATCGAGCTTCAAATCGAATCCCATCTTTTTTAAACGCCGAAAAGCGGTTGATCGGTCAACGTTTAGTGCTGTAGCAACTTCTTCTGTTGAAATTCGCAGATTATTGAGCACTAAAGTACGCAAAACATCGTCATCAATGTCAGAAGGTCGACCAGAGCGTGGCTCGTCTTCAAGGTTAAATTCTCCGCGTCGAAATTTAGCAAACCATTTTTCCACAGTTCGTTTAGCTGGTGCTTCATCCTGATAAACATCCTGAATGTTTTTTACGGCTGCGGCAACGTTTATTCCCTTCCGAAACTCGTAAAGCATAACATGCCGTAAATGCACCTTATCGATACTCATTTTTAAAGTGATATTTCTCGAAGCAGTTCGTATGAAAACAAATGATTTTTTTTTTAATAACAGCTGAAGACGTCACCTTTCCAACGTTATATAATATGTAGATGGAAGTATTAATGACAACACTTTACGACGTTTATAACTCCATCTATTGAAACTCCGCACGAACTTTTGCACTCACCCAATACATTTTGCGGCAATCTGAAATGAGTTGAGCAAATGTACAAATGGGATACATCATCTGTGTCATGTAAATGGCATGCTTCCTTTCATTTTTTACGTATATCTTGTTTATTAGGAAATCAGAAAAATATAATTTATATAATTTGTTATTAATTATTGTAAGTCATATATATTTTAACTCATTATTTGTCAATATAATTACTTATGTAGAGAAATATTTTCTTCCCGTGAAGCTTTTCTCCCACATAAATAGCATAAGCGCATTTTTCCTCTTCTTATCACTTTTAGAAATGTAACAACTTGTATATCTGATGAGGTTATGCGACTCCATAAAACACGCGCATGCGTATTTGCGCCGAAGTACGCATTTGAAAGATGAAGCGAGAAGATGATATATGTCTGCACCGTGATGTTGGCTTCACTTCTCTTCGTCTCGATAGCAATATAGTAGTATTACATATATGAGTAAACCAAACAAATCTAGACATTGCATGTTCTATGCTTGTCCAGGACGTAACACGTCTCTCTTTTTCTTTTGCTCCTTTTCCCGGTCTGAGTGCTTCGCATTAATCGGTATGTTCGTAGGTGGCGCCGTCTCAAAGCCGCTACATAGTAGTATGCAGTAGGCAAATTGAATCACGATCGATTGTTCTCTTTGCGATCGAAGAATAATCGACTATGATTGGTAAATTTGCCTACTGCATACTACTACAACCTCATTGTAGAATGACCTTTATAGCCTTAGGCCCAGTTCCACAACTTGCTTTAAACTCCGTTTAAAGCAAGTTGTGGAACTAGGCCTTACTCTTACAGCTAATGTAAACGAGCCTTAAGAGTTTGTTCCAGCAACCCAATCGAGTTACTTTACCGTAGGACCGAGTATAATCTTGTACGAACATACTCCTTACTAAACACGTGAAAGTTCCTATTTATAAGAGTATCAAATAAATCCCTAGGAAATTACTCCTGTTACAACTCCTCATTCAAATTTTCTTAGAAATTTTAATACCAAATAAAAATAACGAATTGTTAAAAATAATTTTATTGTGAATATAATACATTAAATACGATATTATAATTATGGTATAGTAGATAATGGTGGAAAAGGATTTTGCTTAGATATAACCAATTTCTTATGTTGGAACGATATGTAACCTTTAATTTTGCCCTCATATATTAGATTTGCAAGGAGGCATTCTGTTTCATCCATATCTGTATCATCCATTCCATACATCTGTAATGCCACAAGCAAACTCTGTACTGGTATTTGATGTGTACGCAGTACCAGATATACTTTCTTGAATAAATTTCTATAAGCGATTAATTTGAGTTTCTCAACAATCAAATATATGCCAGCACCAATAAAGAATGCTTCATGTTTTGCCATCACTTTTTCTAGGGAATGTAAATCTCCTTTTTTAACAGATTCCATCAATTCCCAAAATTCCATTAAATTGTACTTTTGTAGGATACTCTGCTTTGGCATATATCCCAGTAACATCTTTACAGGTACAAGATAAGTCAGGATAAGTCTTTTATTTTTTGAACTCATGATGTGACAATGCTCAAATGCATAAGTCAGGTACTTGTCAGCTGAAACAATATGATGTTATTACTTTTTGAAATCCATCAAAAATATAAATTGTAGACATAGAAAGACACAAAATACATACTCACCAACTTTGTAATCACTGTCGAACATTGCTTTTCGTCCAACAAAAAATTTGTATGTAATTTGTTGTGCCAATGCAAAATGATCTTTATAAGAAGAAGATTCTATAGCACGTATCAGAGGTTTACAAAGATGCAATTTATTAATCCTGAAATACACTTTCAATAACTGGTTGATTAAAGCTAACATTCCCCACCGTTTAGTGTCTTCTTCTGAACTTCTACTATCAGCCGCACAAACTCGAAAGCAAGCCATTAAACTCTCAGCACATTTTTCAAGTACTTCACCAGGCTTCAGATTTTTGTTGCTTTTTGAATTTTCTACACTTATTGCAGATAACCTCAGTTCCAAGCACATTACATTCATTACTGGCAACATCCAATTTTCCTCTTTTTGCATTTGCAGGATTTTTGCAAGACATTGCACAGCTGAGCTTTGTTGGTTGTACAAGCAAAATACATCGTTCTTGTTCATTGCAATTATAGCTCTAGAAACAATATTGCTTGTACTCAATAAAGAGAATATTCATATTCAATAATATATTGATAAATAAAAGAGAAATATATTCTTACTTTAAATGATAAAGTACTAAATCATCTAAGGGTGTGGTTAAATGTTCCATTGCTTTGTTTATTGCACTTTCAGATCCAATTTGAGGAATCATAACATGACTATGTCTTAATGATAGAAGATCCTTTAAAAAAATTATTTTTATTGAATCCATATAAGCTATGTTGGAATATTCACTATCAGTATTAGAAATTGACAATATATGTAATATGAACTAAATATTTTTAGTATTGGAATTGAATATTAGAATGCAAAAATTAGTGGAATATATTTATATTGAAATATATTTCTATTGTTTACCGCCAATGTTTCCCCATCTTGATTAAGCCACAGACGTCGAATCTGACAAATGAAAAATAAAATAACAATTACATTTTATATTGGTTTATCCTGATACAATATTGTAAATATATTTTCCTATATCTATACAATTTTGCAAAATACCTGCATTATGTAGGAATCCATTTTGATTACAATTAAAATATAAACAACAAAGATTCGTGAGTAAATAATATCACAATCTTTGCTTTCTTCTTTTCGGATTTGTTTTTTCTAGTTAATGGTCTACAGGAGCCAGAGATAAATCCAGCGTTGACTTTGGAGGCTTCGTGCGGCGAAATCGCGAACCAACACCATGCGCGCGAGCGCAAGAGCAGGAAGGTTGGGTCAAGTCAGTTTGACAAGGACGAACAATCGATCGCACTGTCCTTGTCTTACTCACTCGGGTATTTCGCCGGCCGATACACGGCGAGAAAATGTTTTTCAGACTTTTGGGTGAGTGAGCCAAGCGTCGCAGCGACTTACGTGCAACACCATTTTACAAATTGACATATTTTGTCTAGCTGACGTTATATATCACCGCCAAATTATTATAACATGTTCCTTATATTATTCCCGAGATCTCCACAAAGCCAGATTTTGCAATCCGGCCGTCCAAAATTTATGAAAAATAAATGAAGCGTCCGCCGTACCAAGCATCGCAGCGAATCACTCCAAAAATTATTTTACAAGATGCAAAATTTCGCCTCGTTGACGATACGTATAATTGCTAAACTGTTACAGTATCTTCCTTGAACTATCCCTCAGGACCTTACACAGCCAGATTTTACAATCCGGCTGTCCAAAATTTATAATATATAAATAAAATATCAACCGTACCAAGAATTGCAGCGAGTCAGGTGGAATACCATTTTACATGAAGCAATATTTTGCCTTATTGACGTAATGACCATGAACTTGTTATAGTTACTTGTTATATCTTCCTATAACTATTTCCGAGATCTCTACAGAGTTAGATTTTACAAATAGGCTGTCAACAATTTATTATACATAAATAAAGCGTCAGCTGTACCAAATCGCAGCGAGTCAGGCGGAATACAATTTTATAAGAACAGATATATTGCCTCGTTGACAATATACAGGGTGGACCATTTTAACCTTTAATGGAGAATAACTCGACCGGTGAGCGAAATAATGAAAAAAGTTTCATACAAAAGTTGTTGGACAAGGAGGGGGACGTATGACCATATCCTTGAATTTGACCTTGACTTTGACCTTAGGGGTTATTTGAAGGTCAAATAACATTTTTTAAATGGAATTGCCTATTTTCGACCCCGGATTTGGAAAGAGCGGGAAATTTTAGAATAGGATATGGTATGATCGATAAGATCAAATGTCATGTTTTGAGGTCATTTCAAAGTCAAAAGGAACTTGTACGTGTATTCATGCGAAAATCGTATACGGGGATTTCTAAATTATCTTCTACACTTAGCATTACCCAGAGACAACGACGTGGACGTGGTAGAATTCTGCCTCTTTCGGGGTGCTTGTTTAGAGTGAGTCCCCTTGCCTCTCACTATGCATACTTTGCTATTGTTAATCTAGCTATTCAAAAGGTTTTCGAAAGTTGCACCGTTAGCATTTATGCAATAATTGAGATTTCCTTCTTTGGAAATGGGCCACTGTGCTGAGCAAGACATTTCGTGGAATCGTTTCACAAGCTCGTCTTATGCGATTTTCCATATCTTCTCTTGTTGTTGGTTCTCCTTTGAAAACAACTTCTCTCAAATAGCCCCAGAGATAAAAATCGAGTGACATCAAATCAGGAGAACGAGGAGGCCATGCAATCGGACCCTCTCGACCAATCCATCGGTTCGGGTACCTTTCATCTAAAAACCTCCTGACTATACGTGCAAAGTGCGGTGGTGCACCATCCTGTTGGAAGAACATCCTTCGCCTGGTTTCCAAGTCTACGTTCTCCAACAAATGAGGCAATTGGTCTGTGAGCAAATCGAGGTACGTATTTGCATTCACAGTACGTTCGAAAAAGAATGGACCGACCAAGTATCCATTAACAATCCCGCACCAGACATTGAGGCTCCAGCGGTGTTGATTGTCAATCGCTCTATGCCAGTGCGGATTGGTATCGGACCAATAATGGCAATTATGCCGGTTCAACTCCCCTGTGTTCTTGAACGTCGCTTCATCGGAAAACATCACAAATCTAAAAAAATTAGGGTCCCGATCGATCTGCTGTAAGGCCCACCGGCAGAACTCGAGGCGTCGATCAAAATCGGCAGGTAATAATGTTTGGGTCAAAGTGATATGATAAGCATGGTACTTCCGAGCCTTCAAAATCCGCAAGATTGTGGACTTCGGTATTCCTGTGGATACCTCCAGTCTACGGCTCGAAATATGAGGATCGAGATAGACCGATGCCAAAATAGTCAGCACTCGAACGTCATTCTCGTCATATTCGTGATGACGACGTTGACGTGTCATTTGCCCAGTACGTGCCCTCGTGGTCAAATTTCTGATCGTCACGTTACACGGATGTCGTCTCCTCGGAAAGCGCTGAGCGTAAAGTGCTGCGGCATTCATATAGACACCTCGACATTCTCCTAAAATATAAATCATATCAACGATCTCATTGAGTGTATAATCTCCCATTTTAATCACACCAGATCTCTGCTTATTAATACTAAGAGACAAGCTGTATGATAATAATTGAGTTTTATCTCAATGAACAATATTTATTATACTAGCTTTATAATAATTATTGTTATAATTATTATTATCAATATTATTTTTGGGCGGATAATGATAATAATAACAATGATAACACTATTTTGTATTCTCAGCGAATAATTCCTTACGAGTGAAAAATGTGAGCATTACTCGGAAGCGACGTGGACATATTGTCTTTCTCTGCGTGCTCCTACCGGCCACATGTGAATGCCGCAGCACTTTACGCTCAGCGCTTTCCGAGGAGACGACATCCGTGTAACGTGACGATCAGAAATTTGACCACGAGGGCACGTACTGGACAAATGACACGTCAACGTCGTCATCACGAATATGACGAGAATGACGTTCGAGTGCTGACTATTTTGGCATCGGTCTATCTCGATCCTCATATTTCGAGCCGTAGACTGGAGGTATCCACAGGAATACCGAAGTCCACAATCTTGCGGAATTTGAAGGCTCGGAAGTACCATGCTTATCATATCACTTTGACCTAAACATTATTACCTGCCGATTTTGATCGACGCCTCGAGTTCTGCCGGTGGGCCTTACAGCAGATCGATCGGGACCCTAATTTTTTTAGATTTGTGATGTTTTCCGATGAAGCGACGTTCAAGAACACAGGGGAATTGAACCGGCATAATTGCCATTATTGGTCCGATACCAATCCGCACTGGCATAGAGCGATTGACAATCAACACCGCTGGAGCCTCAATGTCTGGTGCGGGATTGTTAATGGATACTTGGTCGGTCCATTCTTTTTCGAACGTACTGTGAATGCAAATACGTACCTCGATTTGCTCACAGACCAATTGCCTCATTTGTTGGAGAACGTAGACTTGGAAACCAGGCGAAGGATGTTCTTCCAATAGGATGATGCACCACCGCACTTTGCACGTATAGTCAGGAGGTTTTTAGATGAAAGGTACCCGAACCGATGGATTGGTCGAGAGGGTCCGATTGCATGGCCTCCTCGTTCTCCTGATTTGACGTCACTCGATTTTTATCTCTGGGGCTATTTGAAAGAAGTTGTTTTCAAAGAAGAACCAACAACAAGAGAAGATATGGAAAATCGCATAAGACGAGCTTGTAAAGCGATTCCACGAAATGTCTTGCTCAGCACAGTGGCCCATTTCCAAAGAAGGAAATCTCAATTATTGCATAAATGCTAACGGTGCAACTTTCGAAAACCTTTTGAATAGCTAGATTAACAATAGCAAAGTATGCATAGTGAGAGGCAAGGGGACTCACTCTAAACAAGCACCCCGAAAGAGGCAGAATTCTACCACGTCCACGTCGTTGTCTCTGGGTAATGCTAAGTGTAGAAGATAATTTAGAAATCCCCGTATACGATTTTCGCATGAATACACGTACAAGTTCCTTTTGACTTTGAAATGACCTCAAAACATGACATTTGATCTTATCGATCATACCATATCCTATTCTAAAATTTCCCGCTCTTTCCAAATCCGGGGTCGAAAATAGGCAATTCCATTTAAAAAATGTTATTTGACCTTCAAATAACCCCTAAGGTCAAAGTCAAGGTCAAATTCAAGGATATGGTCATACGTCCCCCTGCTTGTCCAACAACTTTTATATGAAACTTTTTTCATTATTTCGCTCACCGGTCGAGTTATTCTCCATTAAAGGTTAAAATGGTCCACCCTGTATATAACCGCCAAATTATTATGGTATCTTCCTTGAACTATCCCCGAGAACCCTGCAGAGCCAGATTTTGCAATCCGGCCGTCAAAAATTTATCATACATTAATAAAGCGTTCGCTGTACCAAGCGTCGTTGCGAGTCACTCGAAATATCATTTCATGAGATGCAATATTTCGTCTCTTTGACGATACGTATTATTACCAAATTGTTGCAGCATCTTCTTCGTACTATTCCCGAGATCGGTACAAAGCTGGATTTTGCAATCCGGTCGTCAAAAATTTATAATATATAAATAAAGCGCCCGTCGTACCAGGCGTTGGAGCAAGTCAGTTGAAAAATCATTGTAGGAGATGCAAAATTTCACCTCGTTGACGATGTGTTTCACCGCCATATTGTTATAGCATCTTTTTTGAACTATCCCCGAGAAACCTACAGAGCCAGATTTTGCAGTGAGGCTGTGAGAAATGTATCATAAATAAATAAAGATGTATGAAGCGTCGGAACGGATCGCGTACAATACCATTTTATAAAATGAGATATATTACTTCACTGATGTAATATATCATCATCATATTGTTATTGCATATCTTTAAAACTATTCCCAAGATCCTCACAAAGCCAGATTTTGTAATTGGGCTGTCTAACTTTTATTATAAATAAATAAAGATGCATCAAGCGTCAAGGTGGATCACGCGAATACAATTTCACAAGAAGAGATATTCCGCCTTGTTGGCGATATATATAATCGCCAAATTGATATGGAATATTCCTTGAACTATTATCCAGGTCCCTATAGAGCCAAATTTTGCATTCCGGCTGTCAAAAATTTATCATATATTAATAAAGCGTGCGTCGTACGAAACATCGCAGCGAGTCCTGCGAAATACCATATTACAAGAAAAAATATTTCTCCTCGTTGCTGTCATATATCAGCATCAAATTGTTATAACATATTCTTCGATCTATCCCCGAGCCACGGGCCTTTACAAAGCCAGATTTCGCAATCAGGCCGCTTAACATTTCTCGTATA